AAGAAAAGGCCAAAAGCAGCCACCGGACCAGAGTGCGAAGTTACATTTATAAGGGGCAGAAGTCCTCAAAAAAGAATTGTTTAATTTAAAAACCCGGTGGGCGTGAAGATCCCGCCGGTGAAGAAGGGTTTGTGCCTTTAGCGTCTCTTGCTGCCCCTGGAGTGTCCGTCCCCCATGACCCGTTCCGTCGATGCTCCTCTTTGAGCTCCCGCTTGTGCAAACAGATCGTTGTCTGGCTTTTCGTAAGAGTCTCAATCGCCATCAATCTGAGGTCCGTATCGGCCCCAGGAGTGAAGCCCCTGTACACCTCAATGGTCTCGTGGAGCATTCGCACCTCGAAGTTGCGGGTCTCTAACTGTTGGCCAACGCCGTGGCCAGACACTTCACCTCCGCTCTTAGATCCTCCCTCCGAGCGGAAGTTTGTGCCTCCGTAAGTTCATCATGGGTCACGAGCAGATGGGCCTGAAGCTCGCTAGTCCTGTCTGCGAGACCACATTCATGATGCTCCACTGCATGGAGCTTGTGCTCCAACATCTCGAGCGAGCATTGACTCTGCCAAGACAAAGAAAAAAGTAAGGCGACCACCAAGAAGTAAGCTGGGAAGAATTCCAGCGAGAGAACTTACCGCGCCTAGCAAATATGTGAGTTCCGAGGCGGTCAGCCGCCATTCGGTAAGCTGGCGGGCTCTTAGGCACAACGATAGGCTCTAACTAAGAGGATACGCTCATTGCCTTGGGCGAGCCCGCCGCAGAAGGAACAGGGATTGCGGCCCGTATAGACCTGGATCTCTCCTCAGTCCGCAGATACTCGGGGGCATCCGTCTCACGAACGGCCGAAGAATTAGAGTTTGTGGAGGTTGAGAAGAGCGGCCTGGTGCAGGCCGAAGACGGGCTGGCTCTCGCCACACCTCCAACAGTGGACTCCAGGCGGCGCCTCTGGTGGGAGGTCTCCCTAGCGAGAGAATCAGTGTGATGCCTCCAGTGCGAAGTTTGTGTGGGTGTCCCCCTCGCGCTTCGAGTAAGCCTCGCGGTGGGCAAGCAACCCCCTGGAGCGTAGAGATCCCACACCTCCTGGAGCCAGCGCGAGCTACCTGCCAAGTGCGAATCAGTAAATAATACTTGCAAAAACCAACAAAACGAGGAAGTCTGAATCGTTACCTGGGATATCCGGTGTCACGCTAGACGGAAGGATGATGGAGCTCGTCATGATGCTCGTCGGCGAGAGTAAAAAGTCAAAGGACCTAATCCCCTCGTCTAGCGCGAGTAGCCAGTTCAGTTTTACCTGTTCGAAGGCGGACGCCTCCACGATGCCAGGAAGAGCAAAGGGCATCGGTCAGAAACTAAAGCCGAGCGGCATGAGTGAATGCAAGGAAGCGAAAATGGTGGTCAATGGACTTATCTCGAGGCTGCTAGGTGAGTAGGACGTTAACATCCACCGGTACCGTCCAGAAGAAGTAGCGTTCCCGCCAGTGGTGGCTCCCGGATCGATCTACAAATATGGGGATGTTGCAGCCGTTCTGGGTGTGCAGAGTATAGTGAAGCGCAACAGGGTGAGGTTGCAGAGCTGGTAAGACAACAGCATGGTGGAGCCAAGCACGCAGACCCCTGACAGGTTGGAAATGACCTGATAGACGCAGAGAAACCACCACGCCAAGGGATGAAGTTGACTAGGGCAGATGCCAGCGAGACGACAGAAGTCGACCAGGATCCGGGGAGGGATGCCGCAGAAGTCGTAGAGGATGTAGTCTTCGTGGATCGCAAGGCATTAGCTCGGCGGGCAATCCGCCCGATCTCCCTCACCAGGGAAGATGGGGGCAAGGCCGGAAGAGGGAGGGTCGTTCGCTAATAAGACCCTCTCCAACAAGTCTGGAGTGCATACTTATGGGGTTTGGTCACAGGATGAGGACGCAGAAGGCGTCCCGACTATGGTCTCGACCTCAACAGCAGACCATGAGAACCGTGCATTCCACTCGTCGGACGAAGAACTCGGCGAAGACATCTCAATTGAAGGAGAAGAGAGGTAGGAGACGAAGAGATTTGAGAAAGGAGTGAGAAATTTGCGGATTGCTTTGAAAATGAAGTGAGACCACGAGAGGCGTGGATTCCGTGAGATTTATTGAGAAGGAAGAAATTGAAGCGATGCGTGTGAGAAGTCGCATCGCTCAAGGAAAGCCAAATGTCAGGGGTACTCTCGTAACTGTTGGCTTCTCGAGCCGTGCGTTAGAAATGACGTGTAGTTAATGCGGAGAGAGACAAGCGGCCCGACGTAGCAGAGAGAGCAACCGGTGGTTCTTAGGAAGCATAACACGTTGTGTGACTTGACGCGCCGCACCTCAAGCCATAGGAGTTTACCATGTGGATCGCACTCACCTCACTTCTGGATTCCACCTGGAAAAGGCCCAAACAACGGCTACCGGACCCTTCAGAACCATAGAAAAAGCGACTGACGAACAGTCGCGATGGTATGAAAACTGTACTCCTACAGGAAAAACCGCCATTCCCCCGGGCAGGAGTGACCCCAGGGATGGGTTGCACGAAGTCCGTGCGTGCGGGTCAGATGTAACCGCTCGGGCATTTCAAGCCCCACGGTGGGTCATACGGAACCTGTTGCTGCGGATAAAACATGGCCATCTCGAAAGCTATCCTAGCCCGCGAGGCTATTTCCTTCCTTGCTTGCATGATTGTTTGATTTCTTACTTGCATGACTGCGTGAATCCTTGCATGCTTGATTGTTTGAATTCTTGCTTGCATGATTGTTTGATTTCTTGCTTGCATGAGTGTGTGAATCCTTGCTTGCTTGATTGTTTGATTTCTTGCTTGCATAATTTTTTGATTTCTTGCTTGTATGACTGCGTAAATACTTGCTTGCTTGATTGTTTGATTTCTTGCTTGCATGATTGTTTGATTTCTTGCTTGCACAATTGTTTGATTCCTTGCTTGCATGACAGCGTGAATCCTTGCTTGCTTGATTGTTTGATTTCTTGCATGCATGATTGTTTGATTTCTTGCTTGCACGATTGTTTGATTCCTTGCTTGCATGACAGCGTGAATCCTTGCTTGCTTGATTGTTTGGTTTCTTGCTTGCTTGATATTTTGATTTTTTGCTTGCATGACTGTGTGATTCCTTGCTCGATTATGCGATTCCATCATCGAATGATGTCCTGCTTACATAGCTGTTTCTCGTATGCGTTTCTCTGATACCGGGCCGTTACACCAAATTTCTTCAAAACCCCTTTATTAGCATGCTATCAAGCGGATTTGCTTGCCTTCTGAGGCACCATTCCTCCGGGAATTCAGAACTCCGGTCCACCAGGCCTTTGCGGCCCTCTCTGCGCACGCTCCGTCCGGGGACAGCGCGTACCTTAGCATGCTTCCCTGCGGACTTGCTCGCCCTCCGGGGTACCCCTCCTACGGGAGTCTAAGGCTCCGGCCTCGCAGACCTCCAGGTCTTCCTTGCCAGTACCCCCCAGCGAGCCGTGCGACAAATAGCCTGCTCCCCCCAAGGACACGCTTGCCACTCAGGCACAACAGGAATTGAGATCACCTACTCGCAGGCTTTTTCTTCCTAATAATTTCCCCGACCTCTTCCTTCCGGGGTATGTCACAAGCACGTTCTTAAAACCCAAAAACTTCCACATAAGCACAACACGAAAGCTGTCCAGGCTGTAATGGAGTCGAGGTAACACCAGCTGCATTCGAGTAGAAACTCCCCCTTGCATTAGCGCCCCCCGATGCAGGAAACATCTATTCATCCGTTCAACGGCGCCACCTCTGGCCTTTGGGCCGGTGTCTTAACCCGCGTCGTTGTCTTATGTTGATCTCCATGGTCACATGAGACTATAACCTCTCTCATGACCCTGATGAGAGGGGGCAAGACGGCTTCTTGTCTAGTGCCTCACGAAACAAGAAGTAAAATCTCTCCGGGGAGATATCCACCAGTGGCCAAGCTATTAATTCCTCCGGGAGCGCCAATATCCTCCTATCCTGAGCCAGTGTCGTACTCCCCCGGATGCGTACCCCAGTCAGGGTAGGACCCAATCACCTAACTCCCCGGTCGTCGGCGTACTCCCCGGATATGTGACGATTATGGGGTTAAATATTTAGTCTGACCGTCTCACAGTTTGCTTCCCCCGGAAGTGTAATTCATTCGGCTAATAACGTACTCTTCCGGACACGAATAAGGCCGGAGTTGACATCTATTAAGTCGTCCCGCGGTTCGCTTCACCGGAATGTAATTCCTCCGACCAATAACGTGCTCCCCGAGACATAAAGATAAGGTCGGAGTTGAATACTTTCTTTCGTTCGCTCCTCCGACTTGGACCGTACTCCTTCGCGATGCGTGGCAAGGTCGAAGTCGATGCCTTTTCCACTTTCCGGGAAGTCTGGACCTTTTACCCAGTACTGTGCTCCATCAGAATACATGGCACGGCTAGGATGAGTTTCTTTTTTAAATATCATCCTTAGGAACTTAGTTTCGTCCAGACTAGTACCATATCTGTCGGGATACGTGGCAAGGTCGTCGCGTCAACCTAATCTTTAATGGCGGATCGCTTAGGGAACCGGATAATTCATGCTAATTGTGCAGGAAACTCAAGATAATTCGACTCCTCGACTTATTTTCCAATCAGTCGAGAAGTCGAGGGCAACTGTTGAAACCAATTTTACTGCTCCCAAGAGGAACACGACATGTGGACATCGAACTGTCCTAGACACTAAAATTAAGAAATAAAATTATATAACAACATAAGAACTGGTAACAACATAAGAACTGGACCAAAACAGAATTTATATCCAATTTTGATCGGAATACAAAAGTACAAAATTTTGTTCACTTTCTCAGAAAAAAATGAGAGAGAGAAAGTGCTAGTTTGTATGTATAATTTCATTTTAATTTCTTTGACCAGAGCAATTTCCCAAGTTTTCAAGTTTCATTAAAACAAAATCTTATAAGAAATATCAACTTTAACCTAATTTTACAATTAAAAACTACTCACATTTTCACAAAAATTCTTTTTGTGCTCATGACGTTAATAAAGTTGACTCAGTAATAACAAAAGAAAAAACAATGTCCAATCATGCTTAACAGTGTTTACGTGGAAGCGATTCGAATGCCAAAGTTTGCAAGACATATTTGGCAGTAACTGAGTAGCTAAGCACCAATCTTGTGATTATTGTTTAAACCACCAAAGAAATGGCTAATGTGACAAATTTAGTCACGAGAAGAAGAAAAAAAGGTGGGTTTGGACTGAGTGCAATCTTAAAACGAGTATAGTTCTATTTACTAGTCAAAGAAGTGTCAAAGATGAATTTGCAACACTCTTTCTGGAACAAATCAAAAATAACCTTCAATCGATTCCTGAATTTCTCCATTATACTTTTGCTTATTCTCTGCTCAAACTTAATTGGCTTGAGCCACCTGATCTTCAAGTAAACATCACACTTACTTGTTTTACAATCAACTCCTGCTTTCTTCACCTCATACCTTAGATGAACCTACAACATTCATCATCATAATAATCAATTTACTAATTGGCTATGAAAACCGGAGGAAGAAGAAGACAAGACTTACGCGAAAATGGTCTCCGAATGGAACATCGTGAAGAGCTACAATCTCATTCAAGATCCAACCTTCATCATTAGGAGCTGGAGATTTCTGCTGTGAGCAAGTGACTCCACCTCCAAACACAGAGACATAGTGATTGTATTTGTAAGAAAGGCGTCTTTCGTTGATCCCTGATTTTTTAGATTCCCATGTTGTACTCGCGTAACTGAGACATCCAGATTTCTCCATGATCTTACGCTCCATTTCTCCTCCATCAAAAATCTTCATCACCAGTTCCACCTGTAATAGAAGCGCTTTTAAATCAATTTATGAGAAAATACCATCTTCAAATCGATGCGCAGTATTATAAGGAGGAGCGAAAGATATACATCGCCAGGTAGATCACACGAGTAGACTTTCGACATCTTTAATGCATCAGAATCCGCAACAGCTGCAACATCTTCAGGTAAGAGAAAAGGATCTGATACATCTAGTTCTTCTTCTGCTATATGTGCTCTATGATCTATACTTAACGTCCTCGTTTTCCACAAAGCCATTATTGTCCTGCACAAATAAATTCAATTAGCCGCAAATAGTGAATCAAACGCTATGGGTTTGGTCAGATTTATTGCTTCGATTACCTGCTAGTCGCATCAAATGACACAAATGACTGGAAATGGAACCAAAGTCTTCCTTCCTCGTCCTGAGATTTAGCTCCATGCTTCGCATCAAGACCTCTGTTCTTTTTTAGAGTAAGGAGCAGCAAAGGGCTACCTAAAGAAGCAAGTGTTGGGGGAAGCAGTTGGATGTCATCAATGTCTTCCCAAAGGAAATAAAACTTTGTCTTGTGTCCAAACAAATTTGAGTAGAACGCCACAATTCTAGCTGACAGAAAGAGCTTGCCCTGTCAACAATATTAGCAAACAAATCTTAAATACAATTTACATGAATCTATGGGTGAAGTCCACAACGCTGTTAAAGAGTTCAAGAATTAGCCAGAGGAAAAGAAAACAGAGGCAAACCTGCACAGGAAGTTTTCTCTTCAAGTAGCATGTATATTCTTTGAGAAGAAACTCTTCATGTGGCAAACCAAACAGTTTCTGAAAAGCGGAGTTCTTTTGTGGTGACCGAATGTTCAACTGTTAACATATACAACGAGAGAGTATCAGGCTTTTTTCGAACTAATGGTACGTCATTACCGTAGATTCACATGTTTACCTTCTTTCCGACTTCCTTTTCCACTTTACTCAAGTAATCTTTCATTGTTTCAACCCCGTTCTTGTTTTCCAGAAAAATTCTCAACTGTAACTTTGACTGAGACGCTTGAGCGTGGTGACCAACTAGAGGAACACATAAGTCCGCAAGTTCATCAGCTGTATGTTTCAAGAAATTGATCTCCGCATGTCCAAGAGAGTCACCCTGGTCAAATGGTCCATCAAAATCAAATACTTCCACATCTAATACCGACGGTGGTTCCTCCATTGCATCAAACTCGATTACCTCTGCAAGATTCACACTCATGTATTATATAGTGGCATGGTGGCAATATAAAAAGGAAACACAGTAGAATGAAAGAGAGAAAATGAGACAGGATTTCAACAGAAATTGAAGAGACAAAAATGAGAAAATGTTTGACTACCATTCCACTGTGGATCTTGAGCTTGAAGTTTGACAGAGCTTGTTCTTGTTTTCCCATTGCAAGTGAAAACAACATAAGGATCAAAGAGCTCTGTTTCTTCCACTGAAGCCAAATTTGTGCCCTTAATTAGAGCTATTGTCAGAATCCATCCCTTACCATTGGCCTTGACTCCTTGATCTCTTCCTGAAATTAGGAAAACAGAAACATATAAACAATTGTACTGCACAAGTGATACAAGTTTGTATGTTGTTTTTTAAAGAGAAACTATCATTTCACCTCGATGCAATCTAGCTTGTATAAAGTGTACTGTCATCATATAAACACGCTCCAGAAGAAGAACTAGTATTCCACTAGAGAATAGCTCTCCAAAACTATCAGGTAAATCAAACCCATAGAACTCAAGTCCTTGGATTTTGCTGGGCTCACAGTGAATTATATGCACCACAACATACACACACAAAAGAACAGCGCAGACGACAGAGGAACTCCAGAAGTAGAGAAAAGCTGATTTCAAATCAGTCTTTTGCTCTGACTGCACTGTGGCTATAACCTGATCCTTGTCCAATACAACAGCCGGATCAAGAGTTTTGTAGCTCTTAGCAAGGAGATCAGCAAATTTCTCAAAGCTCTCTTTAAGCCCTTGCCTAGCACCTCCTTCAATCATACCTTTCATTATAGTACTTTGACTGAATTGAATTCCCCACGATATAATCAGTCGAGAAGATTCACCACCAGCATTTGGCTCTGTTCCAAGTAGTATCTTGTAAAGCAACTCTACTTTAAAGGTGTGTCCATAGGGAACATCTGGTGTGCTTACACTAACAAAAATAACAAACTGGTTCCCACTCGCTTTCCGGTAAAGTTGATTCTCTGTAGCTTTTCCTGCTTTAACCATCTTTGTTGCGGGTCTAATGTATGTGACAACCCGTGTTAGACGAGGATTATCTTCCTGTATCATTGTCCAAGGCCCTTCCTGTACATCTGTTAAACCTTGAAGTTCAGCCAACTCTTTCCTAAATTGCGAATTTGGCGAGAAAAGAAATTTGTTAAGATCAGAAGGTGAGACTAAATATTTCTGATCAAGAAGAATTCCCCCTAGAAGATTCTCAGGCATTTCTTCTTTTCCACTGTCGCTAGATTGCATCAGATTAAGGCCTTCCTCAAAGCTAGTACAAGAAGCAGAGGAAGATGGTTTGTCTGTGGCATCCTCATAATTTGAGGTTACACTTTCTCCTGCTGGCTCGTCGTTGAGTCTTTTAGAGATTTCCTCTTTCTTATGAAAAAGCTTGTCAATGTGGTTGACAAAATTCTTCATTATGTGCTTCCCATCATGGTGTTTACGCCGTTTAGGCGACCCTTCGAGTTCTTTTACGCCCTCCAAGTTGATATCCTGCTTATCATGGAGGGCTTTCTCCCCAGAGATACTTTCCCTCTTCCCTTGCAAAGACAGACTCAGAAGGATTTTTCCTGCAATACGAAGGTAAAGTTTAAATCCAGCGATAAACCAAGACATGCATGTACAAACACAAATACAGATTCCAACACCTATAAGGAAACATATCAAACACAAGAATGTTAAGATACCAGCTGCTTACAGTGGTAGCAGATAAAACTTATTGTTAAATAGAGCGAGATATCTAAGATAGATTCATCCATAAAAAGAAGGGCAACACAGAAAAATCTCATGCATTCATAGTGGCCATCAGAGAAATCTCGAAATCAAAATAACTATGAAACACAATCTCATGTGTGATCTCAAGCTATGGTAAACTATTTCCCAGTAAGTAAGTACTCAAATTCTCACCTAATACCAAAAAACACCATTTCAAATTGAATCTCTAAGTCGGTTAATCATCGATTAATACACAAACAGATACACAACCCAAAGCCTAAAAGGGGAATATATCAAACTCATAGATTTTGATAATTCTGGTATCTCAATCTTTCTTAAAAGCAAAGAAAGTTTATTGTTCAATAGAGACATTTCAGATAGTTTCATCCTCATAAAGAAGGCAATACAGAATCTTAACACATTCTCATGTATTCGCAGTTACATTCAGAGAAATCTAAAATGAGATAATCATCAAACACATTCATATATATGATCTCAAGCTAATTTCACTAATGGCAAGTCATTTCCGATTTCCCACTAATTACAGACTAAATGTCTCACAGAATCCCAGAAAACACAATTTCATATGAATCTAAAATTTCACGATCAACAAAGTAGACACGAATGTATTAACATTCGTACTCTGAATAGTTGCGCAAGTGATTGCAGAATCAATTCAATACCAGAATCCACGAATAAAAACAACATCGATACCAAAGATATCAGATACTAACCACATTCGATGTTCACGAACTTGCCATCACTGGGCTTTTCGATAACGAACCACGTCGGCAACAGAGTCTGATTCTCTTCACCGGCGACGGAACAAAGCGGAATACGAACTTTACCAATTAACACCGTGGAGACATTCGACTGCACTGAGTGAAGATCCTGGTCATGATGGAGAACCGATACAACAACAGCATTACCTTCCTCAACGCTACTAACTCTGAAAACGAATTCTTCATTCCAGATCGGATTCGAAGTATCTCTCGAAACTCTCGTCTTCGACTTGTGTTTCCCAACGTGAAGCTTCACGAACGTCTCTTTAACCGGTAAATCCTTCGCTTGTAAGACGTAGACGTAAAGCCTCATCGTCGATGATTAGATAAACCGAAAAAACTTGAGAGAGAGGTTTGAAATGAGAAAATGGAGGAAGAAGAAGAAGAGAAGTTAAAACCCATAAAGGAAGATAAAACGTGGGAGAGGAAGAGAGTGACACGGAAAGTGATGATTGGGATTTGGGATTATGGGTCGGTTTCTGAGATTTACACACATTCGGCGATTTTTGTTGGTCAGTTTTATGTTTTTAATTTTTTTTTGTTTTTATTTTGGTTAATGTTTATTAAAAACGTTACAAATTTATTATGAAAAGAAATTTCCGTACAAATAGAAAACAGTAAACATTAAATCTAAAAAGAATAACTCGTTTAGTTGTGTAAAGAGAGGATCACAAAAAATTATGAATAGACAACCAAATATAGATGAAATTTATTTAGTTATAATATTTTTAAAAAATAAAATTCCTTAATGCAGTTTTTGGTTACTAAATCAATATATTAAGTAAAAAATCTAGATGAAGTTTATTTGTTAAGAATATTAATCTATTGATATATTTTTGAGCTTTTGTAATTTTAGCATAGATTGTGTATTGATTATTTGAGCTAAGAACGTTGTATTGATTATTTATGCTAATGAAACATATTTATTTAAATCTGATATAATATATATATTTTAAAGAAATAATTGAAAAAATAAGATAGATTTTAAAAAGTATTGTTTTATTAATATTTTTTTAAAAATATTGCCTAACTAATATTTTAAATAATACAAAACTTAACTACCTTTTTAATATTTAAAATATTAAAATTTTAATTTTTTGAAAACTATTTTGTAAAAATTGAAAAAAAATATATCAAAGATAAAACCTGGTATTTCACTTTTAGTTGTCGATAGAAACTAGAAACCATGGACGCTCTTTCTCTCCGCCACATTCACCTCCTTCGCCGACCTTATCTTTGGTTGGCCTCTTCTTCCTCCATCGACGTCCTCTTCTGCCGGTATCATCGTCGACTTGGGAATTCGATTTTTGCTCTTTTCTCTTCTTCTTTGTTTCTTTTTTAATCTAGGTTTTAAAATTGATTTTGGGAATTCCATTTTTGCAGATAAAGCAGTCCGACGAATCTTCTTTTTCTGGCCTCCTCCTCTCCGCCGAACTCCTGCTTCTCTGCTGATGTGTTCCTCTTCCAGCATCAGCTGTCATACTCCTTGTCGCGGTAAGTTTCTCCTCCTTCCTCCTTTTTTCCTCATCCTATTCAAAATTAATCTTGAAATATTTTGACTGTCTTGAAGATTTGAATAGCCACTTACAATCAATAATTAGAGCACAGAACCACTTGACTTCTTCTTCTTATTCTAGTGTCAATTGCTTGTTTTTCTGTTGTTTGTGAGAACTCAAAGGAATGAGATAGAGATTAAACAGCTCACATAGCCTATCTAGAAGTGTTCTTTTGATGGGAATTTATCAGAAAATGCTTAAAAGAAGTGTGTTTTTCTGCCTGTAACAGAATGATTGATCTATGTTATGGCCTTAGAAGTCTACATATAAATGTGTTTTATCAGAGTCAAATGTATATGTATATGGTCAAAGAAACAACGAATGCAAGGTTTTGGTGGTTTTGAGATCTGAAAATTAGACCAAATAAATTAAACTCGAAAACTAATGCTAGTCACGTTTGATTCTCAACATTTGCATTTATAATTTTGAGCAGTTAAGTTGGTAGCCTTTATTAATACTTGTTCTCACCAAAGTTGGTTCCATGCAATTATGTTTTTTTAGTCATCTTTTACTAACGCTGAATTGTTCACATTGTCGATCTTCTATGTCTCTGCTCTTGTCTTTTTTTTCTTTTCTTTCTTTATTAGTTATCTAAGAATTATATTTGCTTATATTATTAATTTTTGAATAATTGTGTTTGTAGGTATGAATTTGAGATTTCCAAAACAGTTGTTTAAAGCAGGATGTGAGCCGTAAGTGTCACATATTAACAACAACTGCAAAATGACATATATGGAGAAATTGGAGGGAGCCCTGCCACATGAGTATGAAATTGTCAAGAGAGACCCCGTATTTGCTAAACTTTTGGCGATCCATGAAAACAATCTAGGATATTCGGGAAAATTGCTTCACAGCTTTATGTGTAGGCAACTGATAACTGACAAACATCGTGAGTTATGGTTTGTGTTTGGCAGGAGGCTCCTACGGTTTTGTTTGCAAGAATTTTATGCACTTACTGGGCTCAAGTGCTTAAATGAGGATAATTGCAATGTGGAGATATTTGTAGAAGATACGGGGTTTTGGAACAAGGTGATAAAAATGACGCTAAGATTAGTATATAGACAATAATGGATAACCACTTAAAAGGTGTTAACTATTAGGATCGTGAGGACATATTGTGGTGTATGATTCAAGTCCAATTCACTTAAAACAACCAAGAAGAGGAACCTTGGAGCTAAAGAAGGTGCAGAATAGCTTGTAGCTGTGGAGAAAGGAGGCTTTGTAGCTGATGATGGAGCAGCTAAGGACTTAGCCAACATCACTCTATACATCAAGAGGGACATTTTGGTCGAGCTAAATACCCACTGGTTCGAATTAAATCAGAAGATATCTCACCTAAACCGCTGAAGCTAACCGAGGAGCTAATTATGGAAACTTCGCATATACATCCTCCCAACATGATATGCGACCAACCATCATTATTTACTGGAGTTCATCAACGTCCTAAACCACCAGAAGGAGTCAATAACCACGCTCAATCATGCCAAACCAAAGAAGAACCGCCTCTTTCCTTACATGGACCCATTGGAGTATTATTTCATTCATACAAGGAAAGCTCAGATATATGTCATTCAGGGACATTATATTCGCCCCACCTCACGTCCACAGCAGCTAACAAGAGCCATACCACACCAGAGCAAGTCAACAATCACCCCCTTTCAGCTAAAGTCAAAAAAGCTTTACTTGAACCACATTTCAAGTATTGCATCATCGGTATCAGAGCTAAAAGCTCTTATCCCAGGTATATTCTCACCTTTATTTCTGTTTTTGTTTCATTTCGTTTCATATTGTTCTTAGTTAAACATAGAAAACCCAAAAGAAATTTTCGTGTTTTTGTGTTCTTCAGTTCCCGAATTTTATAAAATCCAAAAATCCACAAAAATTATTTTTGCATTTTGTTTCGTTTTATTTAATCTCTTAAAAACACAAAAATATTATTTCCAAAAATTATTCGGATCGTTTGATAATTTGTTTTGATTTTTCAATTCAATTGGTCAAAACCGCTTAATTCTGTGTTCTTCATCTTGTTCGATTTTTATAAAATCCAGAAAAACTCAAAAAAACTTAATTTCTTTTTGTTTCTGTTAAATTAAATCCTTAAAAACAACAACAAAATTGTTTCTTAAATTTTTCAACTCATTTGGTATTTTATCTTTGATCTTTGCTAAAACAATCTAAAAGCTGTTCTTGTTGTTCTTGTTGTTCTTGTTGTTCTTGTGATTTATCTTGAACAAACTTTGATTTGATTCACTTGATTTTTGCAAGGTACCATGGAAGATAACACACCAGCAGCTGATCCTATGCAAGCAATCTTGGCTGCTATTCCCAATCTAAATGAGAATTTCAACACCTTCATGAATGAAAGCAATAACCTCCTTGAGCGCCTAGAAGGAGAAAGGCAAGCCCCTCAAGCACCTCTCTTGCCAAGAAGAAATGTCAATGGAGTTCCTCCTGATGCAAACAGAGTAGGAGAGCCTCTTGATGTGCCACCACCAGCGCTAAATCTAGCACAACAAGCTCAAGAAATTTTTAGAAGAAACAATGAGAGGAACAGGCCCTATAATGAGGATAGACACTTACCACCAGAAGTGAAGCTGCTTGCACCAACTTTTGCTGGAACGCTTGATCCTGCCGCCTATCTAGAATGGGAAAGAAGGATGGAGCACTTATTTGACTACTATGCCTACACTGAGCCTAAGAAGATTGCTCTTGCAGTAGCTAGTCTCACTGACCATGCTCTAGCTTGGTGGGACACAGAGGTAGCTGAGAAAAGGAGGCTGAGATATCCTCGAATCACAAGATGGGCAGACATGAAATTTGAGCTAAACAGAAGGTATGTACCTCCTCATTACCATAGAGATTTACTAAAAAAGTTTAGGTCTCTTTTTCAGGGTTCTAAGAGTGTGGAGGAGTACTATGAAGAGTTTGACCTCCTAAGAAGTCAATTAGCTCTAGAAGAAACAGAGGAGTCCTTGATGTCTCAATTCATGGATGGCCTCCAAGAAAGAATTCAGAGAAAGGTGGAGATGCAGCCTTACCATTCCTTGCCTGAGCTTCTACACTTAGCTGTTCAAAGAGAGAAGCAAATAAAGAAGAAAACAACTACTAGAAACCGCTCAAACAGCAATGCTACTTGGAATCACCAAAATGCTCAACCACATCAGCAACAACAGCCAACACCTACGCCATTTGTAGACAAGGGCAAAGGCCTTGCCATTGATTCCCGATTTAAATCAAACAGCCAAGAGCAAGGTAAGTCTAGTAATTCAACTAGACATCATGACATTATTTGTTTTAAATGTCAAGGCAGGGGACATGTTTCAAGAGAATGTCCAAACAAGAGGACTATGATTCTTAGGCCAGATGGTGGACATGATTCACAAGATGAGGCTATGGCTGAAGAATCAGAAGAAGAAATCACTGTATATGCTGATGAAGGATAATTACTGGTCATTTAAAGAGCTTTAAACTCTCAACCAGTTTTGGAGGATCTAGAACAAAGGGACAATCTCTTTCACTCCAGATGCAGTATTCAGAACAAGGTATGTCATTTAATAATTGACAGTGGTTCTTGTGATAATATTGCTAGTGTTTGTTTAGTAGAGAAACTAGGTCTTAAAGCTAAACCACACCCAAGGCCATACAAGCTTAAATGGCTTAATGACAAGGAAGAGTTAAAGGTGAACAAACAAGTAGAAGTTCCTCTATCCATTGGCCAGTATAAAGACCAGATTTTATGTAATGTGGCGTCAATGCAAGCTGGGCATGTATTGCTTGGGAGACCATGTCAATATGATAGAGATGTTGCACATAATGGGAGAACCAATGAATATCCATTCTCTTTCAATCATTGTAAGTTCATTCTTGCTCCTTTACCACAAAAAGAAGTTAGAGTTTTACAAAACAGAGCTAACGGGAAGAGTAGTTATTTTGCT